AAACCCCGTTTAATTCATAACTTTCGCGTTTTAGCTCCGATTTTCGTGAACTTCGTGTTGACGTGATCGTAGCGAGACGTAGATTCTTTTTATAAACATTTTATCTTGTTTTCTATAATGCTGGTGTACTGTTCTAACTATAGGATTGTTTGCTTTGCATGAATGCCTTTGGAATGTTGTATGTTGCCGTGTTGGTCGCGTTTAGACGGTGAGGAGAACGTTGGTGATCAAGAGTTCTTTGACGACCAGCAGGACCAGCAGGAGTTTGCTAACCAAGACAAGTATAGCATGGGATCTACCTTGATGCCTATTCACCTTTATTAATTACTCATTTGCATGTGTCTAATTTTGATACCCGTAAGGACATCCTAGTGATTGATTATCCTGTTCCTTGTCTTCTATAGGTTATATGCATATAAGTAGTTTGCTAGTGCTCAACATAACTGTATATGATCTACATATTGAACAATAATTCTATGGAAAGAAAAGGTAAAAGTTGCTTTTAAACAACTAGATTATAGGGCGAAGGAGCAAATGACTTTCGATCATGATGCTCTCGGCCCTCCATAAGGACTTATCTGTCGGCAAAAGCTGGGACTGACAGTGCAACCGTGAGGGTCATATGGCTCTGACTTTAGCTCAGTAATAGGACCTTTTCTAGCTTGATAGAGGTTACCTTTATGGCGCAAAAGGGGCTTGCCACGTTGGGTATAGGACTACCTCTGTTCCTATGTGTATAGCCGCGATGGATATGTGCCATAGGAAAGGGGGTTCCTACATTTGCCTGCCAAGGAAACCTAGCGGCCCTAACTTGTTAGAGAAACCTATGAAATGGCTTTATAGTGTACCTTGTCCGCTCACCTTGGCAGTGATATGGGAGTAATTAACCCAGACATATGGGAATCACGACTCGTGGTGAAAGTGCACAACCTCTGCAGAGAGTTACAAACTGTTATAACAGCCGTGCTCACGGTCACGAGCGGTCCGGAAAACTCACAGAATAATTAGTTACTTATTGTTGTTCATTTATGATGGTATACGATGATAATATGATCCAAATGATGTTGATATCTGATTATGTGGGTTTAAATGAGAGCTTAAGCATAACTTGATAATACTTGATAATAAAATCTTGACTTACTAAAAGTGCTAACTACAGTAAACCAGTGTCAACCTTTTTGAGCTTCATAACCCCATGTTAACTTGTTAAGTACAGGAAGTGCTTACGCTTGTTTACTTTCTATATTTGGATAAAAATCCCGGATGGGTAACAGATGACAACGTGTATGAGGAGTTTCCTGAGGACTATTAGGCTTGTGGTCAACCAGTTGACCGTCCCTGTGTTGGAGCTTCCACGAGAGAGTTATCTTTTTATTTTCCGTTGTGTTGTATAAGTATATGTTATGTTATTAATCGTGATGTAAGATACACTGTGATGATACTTTTTATAATTTGTCAGCTTATGTGTGTGACTGATCCCTAGGCACACATAAGTTTAGTGCATTCAATTTTATCTTTAAAATTGGGTGTGACACAATGACAACATGAATTGCATCACAAATTCATCTACATGAACATGGCTAGCCACCTCCCTTCATCCACCGACTGGGCGCGTTTGGTGGGGCTCCGCCCGGCTCCCGCCTGGCACTGTAGCGCCACTGTGGCGGAGCCCCCGAAAGTGGCAGCTCCTCCTGGTCTCCCGTTGGTTTGGGAAGGAGCCGGAGTCGGTATTTTGGTTGCTACAGCGATGTACAGGAGAGCACAGTGCACACGCATGCAGAGCCGGAGCTGCTCGGAGCGCAACCAAACGCATCCTAGAAAGGTGAAGAAATTAGAGCCCGCCCACTAAAAGGCGAAGAAATTAGAGCAAGAGGTGCTCAACTCTCTCTACTCCTGTCTCTCTTCTCCTCTTTAAGCATTTGGCTAATTGTATAGAAATAAAAGTAGGGTTGCAAGGATACTACTGACACCAGCCACATCTAATATTCATAGTGTCATGGCTGATTACTAAATTACCCCTAGTAACTAATACTTGATACACATCCCTGAGGGGCAAAACTATTCAAATCTTTTCTCGCATCCGCAACTTTATTTCGTCTCAATGCAAGCCTCTTTGATGCCGCCACTGATCCGCCGATCCACCATAGTCCGGTTTTAAGGCCCAAAGCGGCAAACCCGCCGCCCCCGGTTTCGAGGCCAAAACTACCATACCAACTGGAGTCACATAGCTCATCCTCGACCGGCGGATCACCAAGTGCTTGCATGCCCACCTCGACTTAGTCCAATCCCCTTCTTAACTTCAGTCAACACCGTGTTCATCACCATCCTTCATTTACTTGTTGATGTGCCCAAGTGCTAGCTGTCATGGTATATCTATCGGCCTTGGTCCTCGGTCCAAGCCTTCACGTCCACCCTTTATTGCTCCTGGTCTATCACGCACAGACTCCTACTTGACCTTCTCCATTACCATCGATCATCTCGTGCTCAACCCGTGCACATCCACAAGCCATGAGATATGTCGCACATACAAACTCATGCCTCTGTTAGTCCCACACACATTTCACCAACACTCTCATTATCTCCTTGAGAATAACTCATACATGTGTACATATCAACTATGTGTTCGCATAATATTTTGGGATAAGGAAGACTGTGTACATTAAACTTGAAGAGGAAATGATTTAACTTGAAAATACAAGAAAACTATAAAAAGGTCGGAACAGTCAGTCGAGCAATTGTCTTGTGTATTTCATAAATGAAATTTCTGGGCTTTGGAGGGGAAGGAATGAAGTCACATTTCATCTTGAAATATTTTTATGGGCATAATACATAGGGTCAGTTTAGTTCCTCTAACAAGGAAAAACCTTGCTAGCATAGAAAACAAGTAAGCTTGCTAGAGATCCAACCACTCAACCCCAGCGGCGGATCTGCCAGGGGGGCTGGGGGGGCCCTCAGCCCCTCCTAAATTTGTTTGCCATTGGAGGATGGAAATGAGGAGTTTGAGCGTTGAGCTGAGGTTGAAGACGATGCTGGAGCGTTGAGCTGAGCTTGATGTCTTTGTCCCGTGTGAACTTAAGCCCCCCTAGATTTTCATCCTAGATCCGCCACTGCTCAACCCCATCTGATTTCTTTACCTGCCAAGCTAGGTGAGGCATGGTTTGCTCAAAGATCCAAATATGCCTAGTATAGTAGTATGCCCTATCTCAACTTTCCTTTTAATTAGAGTACATTTCACCAATACGCATTGTATTATAGAAAATGAAATTTAAATACCACTTCCAGTTCAACAAAAAACAAGTAAGGCACATTGAACAGATGAAGGACAACAAATTCTGCTGTTATTAAGGAATCAAAATTTGGCATATCTGCAACATATACATCAATGAGTTAAATGCATTATTGGTCCATTAACTTTTGCCCATGTTTCACTTAGGTCCATCAATTATAAAAGTGGTTTTTCGAGTCAATAAACTTTTTAAGTGATGCACCTCTAGTCCATACCCCTTCGTTTCTATTTTTAATCTGATGTGGCTGTCCAACTGGCGCTGACGGGTCTGACGTGGTTGTCCACCGTGCTCGCCTACATCCTCATGGAGCTCGGTCTCCTCGGCATGCCGTTCCGCGAGACGGCCATGGCCGCGGCCGCGGTGAAAGACGTCCTCATGTGGGCGCTCCTCGCCCTCGTGCTTGCTGTCTCCGGCGGCAATGACGGCGGCGGGCCCAAGGGCACACCACTCACACCGGCCGGCCATGACCGTATAGAGCCCACGCCCATGGTGCCGTCGCACAACCACATGCCTCTCCAGCCCTCTGTTGCGGCCACTGCCGCGCGCAGACCCGGTCAATCGCCCTCCTCAGTCCTTGATAGAGGCGGCCATAAATCAGATCGTCCTCCTCAGTCCTCGACGCCGTTGGCAAGCGTACGGCGAAGCCCACGACCACTAGCGAGCTAGCTGGGATGGTGCCACGAGCACTGGTTTCGCCCTAGGCATGACGTGGGCAAAGGAGAAAGTTTCAATGCCGGACGTCCTCGCCGCAGTCACCCATAGGCTCTGCTCCTACGCCGCACGTGCTGACCAGCTCTGTTGCCCGGTCGTGCTCGGGTCCACGAGTACTAGAACGACGGCGGTGGCGATCCCACACGTGATCGCTGCGCTCGCCCATAGGCTCTGCTCATGATGAGCTCGCTACGCCAGCTCATGGTGCGCCTGGCGCGCTGCTTGGATCCCGAGCACGCCGGCGCGCTGGCCTCCCCCGGCGCCGTCGTGGGCAGTGCTCTGCTCGCAGGCACGGTGACTGCTCCGACCGCGCGTGCCCTTGCCTCCGCGCTCGCCAGACTCCGCCCTCACGAGCTGCGGCACCCCGACGGCATGAGCGCTACGAAGGCGGCCTCCCGACGCGACCATGGCCGTCTCGCCTAACGACATGCCGAGGAGGCTGAGCTCCTTGAGGATGCAGGCAAGCATGGGCAGCGCTGTCGCCGAGAGCGCAGCGCCGACGAACACGCAGAGCGGGAGGAAGGCCACGAGGGGAAGGGCACGCGTGCACCTTCCACCTGATTTCCCTCCCGTCACGTGAGCTACAGCTCCCTCCAAAGACAGGTCAACGCCACTTGGACAGCCACATCAAATTAAAAATAGAAACAAAGGGATATGAACTAGAGGTGCATCACTTAAAAAGTTTATAAACCCAAAAAACCACTTTTATAGTCGATGGACTTAAGTGAAATATAGGCAAAAGTTAATGGAGCAACGATGCATTTAACTCTACATCAATTTACAGAATCACAAATGGAGCAAATTACAACCTTTTCCTTTATCTATAGCTCTGCCTATTGACTGAAATGAGGATCAGATATATAATGTCACAACACCACCTAAAGTAAAAAAGTTTACATGTATACAACTATGAGCATGTATGTGCATGGTTTGACAGAAGTTTCAGAAGAACAAGAGGCAGTAGAAGAATACCAGGGGTGCCATTTATACATAGCCATATCATCAAACTTCAATGCTCACACTGCATATGCACGACCCTGAAGGCTTGAGCTTAGTTGTCTGCCACTCACATCCTGTGGGTGCTGCAGGATCATACGCCAGTGTTTGGTACCCAGGTTCTTCCTCCAGTGAGAATAGAAGAACCTTCATGCCAAGCACCCCAAGGGAAAACTTAGTGCTGGAACTGCCAGTAAGGGGCACAGGGATCTTCTGCCAAGAGTTGTCTGCCGGGTTAAATGTTGCAAGTGATCGCTGGTTCTTCCACTCGATGCAGAACAGACTCTTGCCAAGGACAGCATGAGATGTGACCATCACACAGCCTCCCTTGAGCTCCTCCCAGGTTTGGAGATCAGGTTCATACACGTCGACAGAGCGTGTATTGCCAATAGTGAAGCTAGAACGCCCACCCATGATGTACAGCTTGTCATTGAACCCACAACCAAAGCAGCCCCACCTCGGCCTGCGAAGGCTCTCGATCAGTGTCCATTTGTTCTGCTGTAGATTGTATGCTTCGACGCTGCTCAGGCTATCGCCAGCGAGGCCAAATCCACCAGCTACATATATCACACCCTTGACCTCTGCGCAGGCAAAGTCGCGTCGTGCAACATTCATCTTGGCAAATGCAGTCCACCTGGAGTTTGTGCAGCAATTTTAGTACTCGATTAAAAAGAGAATAACAATATCCTTTGGTAAAAGTAAAAAAAAATTCAAACCTGTTCAGACAGGCATGATAGCAGTAAACCTCATCAGAAACAAATTCTTTCCCATGGTCAGCAGCATAGCCAGCCATGACAAAAAGCTTTCCATCAAGAACCACCACACCAAACCCAGCTTTGTTTGGCCCAGGCATAGGTGGAAGTCTTCTCTTCTTCTGATCCAGGCTCCCGAACACCTCCCAACAGCTTCCATTTCTGCCTGCTTCAGTGGTCAGGACATAAATCCACTCTTCAACCTTCCCAACCTCCTTCCGGACGGCGATGAATTCTCTGCTCCCAATGAATGCCATCCACCTCTTTGACACAGCACCCATGCCAGGGAAATATCTCCGAGGAACAAGAGCAAGGCAAATCTTTGCCACATCTTCTGGCAGACCAGGTATCAGCGCGCTGGATGAATAATCATTCTGCATTTGGATCATCGTCTTGGAGGGAACATTTTGCCCAGCTGGGAACATGAGCTGCACTCTAACACCGAGGCACGTCTGTGATTGAACAGGACCTTCTCTTGATCCAACAAGGGCAAGCATTGCCAATATAGCACCAAGTGCCTACCAATGCTTGCCTCCTTGTTAACAAGGGATAAATGATTTCTGTGTTTGCCGATTTAGCTTATTTGTTATATGTGGTGATGCTGCAAACATAGAGTTCATGATATCCATCACCAATGGGAACTATTGGATTGAATGCTACTGAAATAAGGTTCAATTTATATTTATCAGTCTCTTTTATATTTTCCATATTAAATGCTATCCAATCGTGAAAGGCCTTGGAATGTTTTGTCCTGGTTGAATAGACAGCCTTAGAGCATCTCCAGCAGGTTACCTAAACAGGCTACCTATCTTACATTTAGGTAGTGGAGGCCAAAAACTGCACTTGAGTAGGCTACCTAAATTTGTTGGCCCAACAAATTCCCGCTCCCACTACCTATATCTGTTGGCCCAACAAATCTGCTTACCTATTTTTCTTCGGCTGTTTTCCTCTCTCCCACAACGTGTCTCTCTCTCCTGCAACGCGTCTCGCCCCGACGCCGGTGGCGCGCCTCCTGCCCGTCGGTGGCGTCCCTCCACCGTGGGCCTCCTTCGCCGGCGGCACCCTTCCCTGACGCCTGTGGAGCCCCTCCCGACGCCGGCGGAGCTCCTCCCCACCAGTGGCGCCCCTCCCCACGAGCCTCCCTCGCCGCGGAGCCCCTCCCCGACGCCGGCCCTCCTCTGTCTCGTGGCTGGCCTTCCTTCCATGCGGAACTCTCGGCGGTTCCCCTGTGCCGCGGCCCTGGCGATTCTCCAGTGCGGCTTCCTGGCAGGGCACGGCTCCCCGGCGGTGCTCCGGCAACTCCCCTCCCCGGACCGCCAACTCCCCTCCCGCCGGCAAGCTGTTGATGGCCGAGTTCATCGATGGCGACAAGGAGGAGGATGACACATGGGTCCCACATGTCATGGACTGCTGGAATGAATTTAGGAGCCATGTTTTAGGTAGTACTGTTGGAGTTAGGAGCAAAATATCGATAGTATGAAAATAGGTGGCTAACCAAATAGAGAAATAGGTAGTGTGTTTACTGGAGATGCTCTTAGTCTCCTTATTTATGATGTTGGAGCAGCTCCCGGCCCCAAACATAGCCCCAATATCTACAGAAAGCATAGTACTATAGTATTACATTAATACCAGGTAGAAACGGCAACACCAGTGTATAATGAGTATATATGCATACCAATGGGCATGGCCTATATGCCTGAGACAGACAGTTAGCCACCGCTCGCTTCCATTTCACCAGCGCTAGTTGCCTACAACAGAACAGAAAACTTCTAAGCCTTCCAATTAAGTGATTACTAACTTATAAATCATTGGATTAGGAATAATCAAAAAGAAGATCATGAAATGGTTTCTTCCAGAAAGTGAAGGACATAATAGTGGTGGACTGGTGGTGCAAACATAGCTAGTCTGACAAAAACACACACACAACTCTCTCAACAATGTTGGAAGAATACGTGAAACTGAAACTTTGTCCCACTTTCAGTTTATGGTAGACCTTAATTCTCAAAAAGCATTGAACTTAGAGCTCAATGCCTTCAATAAGATCATTTTTCAAGTAGTAACTATAGAGGGTATGGCATACTGTGCTTTACGTTTAATGTCACAAAAAAACTAAGCTACTCCCTCCTTTCCAAACCGTAAGTCGTTCCGTCTTTTGAAGATACGTTGTTTTTACTCTGTATCTAAACATAAAATATATCTAGGTGTGTAGCAAAAGGAACGTACTTCGAAAAATCAGAAGGACTTACAATTTAGAATTGCCGCACCTAGAAAAAACAGGAACAACTTACAGTTGGGAACGAACGGATAACATGTCAATGTATAAGATATCTAAAACAAAATTTTCATTGTATTTATGTCATAAATAAAACTAGAAGTTATTAAAAAACGTGAATTGCAGAGTTGAAACTTGGAAGTAGTGATTTCGTACTATTAGATTATAAACTAACAGTGTGACAAAAAAAGTTGATTCTGTTTTCGTATACGCTTTTTAATTGGTATCCCATACGAAGCAGCCAATCAATGGGAAGTTCACAGCAGAAACTGATTTCCTCACTACTGCTGCCAACCGAATAGGCTCAACGTTTTCCGAAAACAAGAAAAATGAAAATTGCTTCGGAAACAAGGCCTGGAATCAAACAGCCAATATTGTACTCCCATATTATATATAACAGAAAAGCGCCCAAGAGCAGGGCGAAGGAAGGAGAAAGCAGGGGTTACCTGGAATCGGGAGTTTTTCCTTGGAGGGAGCTCCAAGTTTGGAGGGCAATATGATTATGCGAGCGATGACAATTGGCGATGGCGGAATTATTTTGAGAGGAGACAGGAGAGGCGAAGCGGTGAGAGTGCGCAGCGCTCGTGGCGCGCTGCTCTTTATATTGTGGAAATTGCAAATCCTTTTCCGCTGCTCCCGGTGTCCTCGGACGTCGATCTGTGGCTTTTCTCTTGCCCCCTTGAGGATCTTTTTATTGTTATTGGGTCCAGCCAGAGATGCTCACTGACAAAGTAGAAACATCCCAAGGAAAATAAAATATAGACGGCAGACCAAGATACCTGGCCATTCAATTTATACATACATACATCAATTAAAAAAGATGACACGCAAGAAATGCTCACGTACGAGAATACGAGATGTCACCCTTCCCGGAAGGATCCTTTTACGAAACGAAACCAAACGTCGGCCAAATGCGAAGGTCAACTTTGCGCTAATAATCGCCCTTTCACCTCCGTAGGCGAGCTTATCCCAACGGGCGAGTACAGCCGTGGTAGTACGGCAAGGGTAACCTGATAAGTTATGGCACCTCATCCTCATCAATGGATTGATATGCAAGTTGCATATATATATGTTGACCTTGATGCGCTTTCCTCGTCAAAACTTCTCTGAAGAACAGCCACCTTGCAACTGATGCACTATCAGCTTTGACTTCTTGACCCACCACCTCCCTGTCCAAAAGGCTTAAGATGTTTTTTTTCCTCCTTGATCCAATATGAGGATTAGTAATTTCCGAATTTTGAGAGCAACAGATGAGAATAATTCACGTTCAGATGAGGTTTGCTTTGGGAGTGTCCATATATATATATATATATATATATATATATATAATGAGAGTTGTTCGATTTGGCCAATGCAAAGCATATTCATTTCCTGGGGAATTCATGCGCAACAGTCACAATATTTCCTTCCTTTTTCGCAGACACACCCGCCTAGCCTAGCTAGTCAGCAAGAACCAAGATTTGCGTGACAGGTCGATAGGACAGAGAGGTATATCATCAGGCTAATTAATTCCTAGACAACCGACGCGTAAACTTCGGCCAAAAAATATTTGACTTCTGATAAGTGGACTTTTTGTTGATAATCTTATCCAAAGGGAGGGATGGACGACATGGCGAAAGCATGGTTGCTGTGTCTGACCATTTCTCGATGGTTTCACTTTGTTACGCTAGATCACTTGACGTAGGATCTACCTGACTTTTATGTCGGCTGGCATCTAAGTATGTTCACACTCGAATCTTGTGCCTCTAGCGATGAGCGTAATACGTGAGACATGTCGCCGGAGGAAAGTCGTTGGGAGCGCGATACGCAAGACACGCCAATTAAGTTTCTTGAACACGAAATACCATACGCCCGGGAGAGACCGAGTTAGGGCGTGTCGCAGCTGTGGGTTGCCCTAGCCGGCCTAACCGCAGAACGACGAGAAGAAGTAGATGGAAAAGATGGTAAAAGAGAGATTTTGAATTTTGTGTCGAATGTGTGTGTTGGGCAACTCAATGAGCCGTGGCCCTTATACTTATAAGCGGGTGGCCTTAACTCTTAAGGAGTCAAACCCCCTTTCAAATTGCGTTAAAGCGCAATTAAGATCCAATGTGGTCCGACAGCAGCGACCTGGCCAGTGCCAAAACTGGTCTGACTGGTTTTCCTGTGGTTCCAGCGTAGAAAATCTTCTGTAACTAATTCATCCGGACTCGAAACGATGTGATCCATATATATTTTTATCAGCTAACAGAGGAATGCAATGGTGCAATCCATTCTTGCATTTGAGAAAGTTGGGAAAACCAACCTGACTAGTTTTGGGAACTGGCCAGGCCGGTTTCAGCTGGGTCAGCCTCCCGAAAAGTTGTTTTCTTTGTCCGGGCTCCAAATGAGATGATCTAAATATGCTTTCTGACCGTCTTAACGACAGAAACATGATGACGGAGTCTATTATGCACTTTTGACAATTTTGGATGTCGACATGCCCTCATATTTTAGTAAAGCTTGCGTATTAAAAACATCTTGATTTGGCTTAAAACTCAATTTCTGCTTTGAGGTGACAACTTCTGCTTTATTTCTGCCTTCACCGATATCTTCTGTTTGCTATTATGAACTTTTCAAAGTAATATCCTTAGCTTCTTTCATCAAATTCTTGCACATGCACAAAGCGATCAACTACCACCATCCATGGTAAATTTTGACATTGCTCCCAAAACTGAGTTGGCATAATCAATTTTCAGTCCTTGTGCCGCCCCTGAATAAAATGTAACTACTAAATTCGGTCCCTCAACACGTCTGAATTAGCATATTGTTTAAATAAATTAATTGGATGTCATCCCAAAAAGACCATAGCTTGACAACATGATGCATTAAAGTGGCAAGCTTCAAGCAAATATCAACATCCTGAATTCAAGCATCTCAATAGCAAGCATTCAACAGAAAATCAATACAAATCACCATTGGCCATAATATAGTTGGTTGCCTATTGACGAATACTTTTATCACCTTTAGCACTTGGATTACTTAAACAATCCATAATGGGATCTCTCCCGTCATCCAAATCGGCACAAAGTTCATTGGAGTAACAATTGAGCCGATTTGGGCATTCCCTAGGAAAACCGGCCTAGCCGGCCCCAGGAACTGGCTTGGCCGATTCTACTGCATCTGTGCCTGCAAAAAAGAAGCAAAAAATCGGCAGGGCCGGTTTTGGCAGACCAAAACCAATTCGATCCTCCTGCATCGGCTTTC